AAAAAAAAAACGATACTAGCAGTATACCTAAATAACCTATTCAAAACGCCGTGCGACGATGCTTATTATAGTTATTAAAACACACTATATCAATGATGATATTTAAATAAATTTAATTTCTAGAATAAGACAGTTCACTTTATATTTTGCAATAGTTTTATTCTATGTGTAAGCCCAATGACTCACGTTTCCGAGGGTATAAATGAAAAAAATTATACTATAGTTATTGAYTATTAATACTGCCGTAATCATGATAAATTAAATTAAATTTATCATGGCCGTAGTGCTGTATCATGTGGAAAAACGTTCATTTGTAAGTATAATATCTAGATATTTTAGACTGCTCATTTTCACCAGTTACTATTTTTTTATAGATAACGGCTATGTCAACAGTGTACGATGTACATTGTACGATATCTATTAAAATAGATTTTAGTACCTACATAGTAAAAATTATAACTGATATTAATCGCAGCTAATTGCGTGATTCTATTTAGTATACACGATATATGGCATACTATCAAGCCATTAAGACATTAAAGAAACATTGTTACAATTTTACATAGGTATATAAGGTTCTAATTTGATTAAATAAATAATAATACAGCATAAAATGTATCAGGTATTAAAATGTTTTATAAATTTAATATGTAYCTATATTTTATGTGTTAGTATATCGTATATTGACAATTTAAAAATTACTCACATTATAGAATATGAGTACCTAAACATACATGTGGTTAAGACAACTGACAACTGACAAGATTACAAGAATAATAATAACAGAAGTAGGTAACACGTTTTGAGCTGAGCATGAATTCAATAATGGGGGGGGAGGGGGGCAGAATTTTTATTTTTTGTCTATAAATCCAATTCTAGTAGGTATAATTCTATAGTAATATCTGGATTCTGGATTAATTATTATCGAATATYGATGATAACAATCTAAAAAGTTACTCAAGTTATAATCATAGATAAAAGATAATGGTTATAATATGCTCATCTTGCAGTAAAGTTGTACCTACCTATCTATTGGGTTTGGTATCATGCTCATCGCTCATGTGACTTGTACCTTT